GACCATGATGGGGGGTGATGATGCTGATATCGAGCGAGATGAGGACAGGACAGGACGAGTTCGATCTAGTCGATGTCGGTCGAGTTCCTCTATGTATGTGGTGGTCAGCCATTCGAACAAGCAAGAAGACAATGACGTTCAAGTGAAGCGACTGTTGGTGTAAGAACCTAAGGCTCGTCGCACTCCCACTCACACAGAAGGCTAGTCTTCCTGACTTCCCTATCTATACTCCAGCAGTGACGAGACGAGCGAGGAGGCCGGTCGGTCGGGCTGGTCGAGTGAACAAGTGAACGAGCGCTGGGTAGGTTATGCTTGCTGAATTCGCTTAGTCGGTTAAAGCACGGGTCTCATAATCAGCCGTAATCGAACGATATAGTAATGCACCCCGACATGAACGAACGAACGAAGAGAAAAGTTTCAACACCCATAGCTTATTCGATCCCTCCAACATCTGGGACGTCATCACCTGCCAGCATCTACTCCCGCGGGCTCTGCAGACCCTGTTCACATGCATGTACATACCTTCAAGTCTCACTCTCACCTAACAGGGAGCATTGGAAGGAACTGGTCACTTCTGTCCTCTTTCAATGCATCTACAAACCTGCTTACTGGCTCATAAGTTTCAAAGCCCTTGTACCCACCATTTTGAAGGAAGTTAGGTTTTCTAAGTGTGGCCAACTTCAGCCAAGATCCTTCTCACCGTTGAGACTGTGAAGCTGCATTACTATCAGGCCCACAGGAATCTGGAATGGATAGGGTTGAAACCTCAGACACACTTGGAGTGGGAACAATTGGAGCAGATACCGTACGTGACACTCCCAAGGGCGTTGGGCTCTTCCTCCTTGTGCGCTTCCCTAAAAAGTGATCACGCACACGCTCTTGCAATGTTGGCTTCACAACCACATGAGGTGGTTTGTCAGCATCACCAAATTTGATTTCTCTGACTGGTCCACCCATACTCCCCCCTTGAATCAGATGTCCTTCAGAGTTTCCTGCCTGAGCGGAATCTAGGAGTGTTTGACTATTCTTCACGGCAACCGTGTGAAACTGGTCTGTAAGAGCCCCAGAAGTTGATCGAGCAACAGAAAGCGGCTCCGTGGTGATGGATCCTGTTCTAAGCCTGCCAGGATCACTAGATGACCGGGTGATTGTTGACTGGGTACCATGGTACCGCCGACGGTAGATATTCAGGATTATGGTCCTGTGAAAGAGCCCACGAGGACTAAACTGCTCCTCTTGCATCACGGAGTTGCTCCCGACACTCTCTCTACCCTCAAGTGTCCAGAGCCAACCTGACCTCTTGAACCTGTTTGAC